CAGTAGTTAAGATCTTCATTTTTACCGTTGCACATACATAAGTAGTGATATGAGTGTTTATTGAAAGCGTTAGTTTGTAGGCAGCAATGGTGTCGAGCCGATATGAGTGGTTATATTTATGAGTTTGGTGTGTATCAAGGCAACTCACAGGACACTACTAATTCTAAAGACAAATTTGATTTGGGGGCAGTGTTGTGGACAGACTCACCCAGACTGAGAGGAGTTGGTTATGTTGTGGTAATGGCTAATTATTTCACATCTGTGGAACTACATGAGCGTCTGAAAGTGAACAACACATTTATCTGTGGAAATGTCCGTCCCAACAAGAAACAGCTTCCTATACTTCAAGAGGACAAGGAGATGAGGAGAGGTGATTTTGATTGTCGTTTTACAGATCAAGGAATTGTGTTTTTCGAATTGCAGGACAACAAGTGTGTTCAGCTATTGTCCAATTACCATGCAAGTGAATCAATTACTGTGAAGCGTAAAGAGCGGTGTGAAACAAGGCCGACAACGTGGCGCCTAAGATAGAACAAGATTAAAATTCATCAATGGGCGGACTGGACAAATATGGTAGGAAATCAAAAAATGGTGGCACAGAGCATTTTCTGCAATGACGAAAATGACATGTCAATGCATATGTAACGTGTAAGGACATGCGTCATGACATCTCACTTCAGGAGTTTCGAAGAAACTTGGCAATGGGGCTTGTCATTAGGGGAAGCAAACCAGTGAAAAAAGAGGTCGTCCTTCAATCCATACAACGTCATCACCAAACAAACCAGAGACGAAGGGAAAATGACTATTATGTGCCTAAATACATCACGACACATTTGTTGCAAAAGGTGGAAGATATGTAATGTGTTCCACCCAAAAAATTCAATCTAGACCACATTCAAATGTTCTTTTGTGATGCATTTTTGTGTTGCAACATCAAAAAGAACTTTCAAGAATATCATTTTCAGTAATGTACCCTCATGGTGACATGGTTGATGACCTACGTTCCTGTCGGTACTTACAAGTAGCACTTTAAAAATAGAAATGTTCACACAAACTTAATTGCTTTCATTTTATGCTTAGCACTAACTAAGGTCTACTTTAAGACATAAAAGTAATGAAAGTTGTGGGCAAACTAATGCAGGATTGAAAGGGTTACTGTATCTACGCTACGGATGCACCACTGTACAGGTCATGTAGCTCCACCTGCAATTGAAGGCCGAAAGGAAAGCCACTGAGCCCATTTAGTTTCACAGCAATTCAGTAACACAATATATCATTCTTGAACAGGTCAATTGGATATCCAGGTCTACGGATGTCCAGGCACTATGCTCTACCTTACCTTGCCTCTATAGGCTTAGCTGCTTACATCACTCGGCCAACAAAGCCGTAGCTCTGAAAATTCATACGCAGCTAAATTGCTATATTAATCCTAACTTTCTCTCTTCTTTCACATACGAGCAAAACAGCACCAAGTATACATAGCTTGACCTCTGCTACTCTGGGCTATTACGCACGACTATGTGCTACTCGTCTGATTTTGGTTGATGACTCCTAGCGTTTTATCTCCTTTCACGTTTCTTTTCATTGTATCCCCAATCTGTACCGGAATCAAAAACTGAGAATACTCGTGTGCTGATAGGAAACGACAGTGAAAACCTCGAAAAGTCCTCCCAAACTTTGCTACATATTATTGTATATGCTCCAAACATTGACAACCCTGCATGCGCGAGCATGTTGCATAGGTAAATACGATCCGTTCGTTTGTGGGCACGGTTACTCGAGAGAACGAGAAATATACTTTATTATTTTATTATAAAATAGACTTCCGGGGACATGTACTTCTACCTATAGCCTACAATCATGCTGACGGTATGATGGGTTCCCCGAGTGTGAGGCATGGTATCACGTACCAGTGTTGCGTGCTTAATCGGAAAGCAGATGTCAAGTAAAAGGTGTCTGGTTGCGCGTTGAGAGATATTAAGGATACAGCGTTGAAATCAAAGAAGCGGATGGACTAGGTCAATCATCGAGCAATTCCAAGTGACATTCAAGTTGAGTGTTAGCAGTGTCCACCGAAATACCCTAAGCAGTGTGAACCAAACGGTTGGTGTGGCAATACGACACTGGTTTTGAATCGTCGATAATACAAGCATAGTTAATCTCCATTCTGGGAAAGACGAATGAGGGCTTGGAGTTCCGCTTTTGCTGTTGAGATCCAGTTTGCATAAAGAAACACACTAGCCAGGCGGATTAGCCAGACGAGTAACTCAGGTAGTTGGCAGTGAACATAAAACAAATTTGCGCGTGAGGGTGGGTAAGCAAGGTTGAACTCTCTGACGTCTGGCTTCAATCGTTGAAGTTGTTGCTGATGCGCCAATCCGAAGATCCACAATAGCAGCAATATCTGGACCAAGCACCTTGCGCATGCATTTCTTCAGTTACACAGAAGAGTCATAAAAAAGGAAGTAAGGTTCTGTTTAAGAACGTTCACACTAACCACAAGGAGTTCAAGTGATAGGAGATGCAAGTGTGCCTGAAAGCATAGTAAATCCATGGGCCACATTCAATGTGTCCTGGGCTCTCGTCGCAACCGCCTTGTGAAGCGACTTGATCAACCTATGTGGATACGCGGATTTCAAAACCTCATTGAGCCGACCAACACAACGAATTTAGGTCACTGTAGGCGGGAGTTTGTCTTGCTTAATCGTGACTGATGTGGCAGTCGATTAGGGGAACGGTTGAGCCGTGTTTAGAACAAGAAAGTTGTCTGTGATAGTGCTTTCGTTCGAAAGGTGAGCCAGATTCACAAAATCCGCATCGGGTCTGCAGTTCATTGACTTCAGTCCCCGTGATATTTCCAACTTATGCCTACAGAGCACATTATGATGCTTCTATGTGAGGAGCCTGACGATTGTTAATCCATGTCCTATTTGGCAGTCTCAATAAAGCAGTGTATGTAAAAAAACTCCTAGGTGCGGACAATCATTACTCATGAGTCAACGGATGGAGTGTGATAGCGCAATTGCGCTTGCAGCACCGACTGCAAAAGACATCAGCAATACGACGGTACTCAGTACCAACGCTTCGCTACCGTGCAACCACCACCAGTCGCGAGTGGGCTAAGGATACTGTGAGGGTCGCCCGGGCCCATACGCAAGCTTAACCCCGCTACCTCAGAGTAGAGGGAAGGCTTTTGATCCTTAAGCGCATGGGCCGGCGTTCAGACTACAAGATAAAGGAAAATTGCTACCGTGTTTGATTTTGCATTGAACCTATCCACTCTGAACCATTTCTGTTTTCGTGGGCTTCACTGTCCCTGGTGGACAGGGCCTTCAAACAGGCCCTTGGTGTTGCCCCTTGGAACATCATTTATTTTACATAATCTACCGCTGACCTAGAATTTTTGTCGTTTTAGTTTATCAGTTTTGTTTAACTGAACCATATCCGAGTTACAAAAGTTATAGTACTCTGTCGATTTTTTGAAATTATTTCGAAGCGCTGCACGTAAAAATTCTTTCGTCGAATACGGTCAGAAAGCTAAAACACTTCTAAACGGATTGTGAGAAAACATTATGGCAAGATGAGAAAACATCGCGCAAATTGGAAAGTTGGTCTCCGACGATGCCCTTTGCAGAAAATGCAATTACCACTCATCCTCTCCAGCAATGTGCGTTCATTGCTAGGAAAAATCACTGACCTCACATCTCTTATGCAACGAAAGGTATTATTACGTTACAAGAAAGCTGGTTGTACCCCGATATTGAATATGGAGTCACTAGCATCAGTGGATACCGTGCGATTAGGCCCGATCACCCAGGTAAGCCAAGGAATCGTGTTAGTGGCGTCCTCACCTATGTTAACCAACTTTGGTGCATCTCAATCAAGCAACTATTCACTCAGTACAAGTTCTATTAGCTGTCATTTACTTGAATGTAAGCTTAAATTTCCCAGTGGCTTTCAATCCGTTGTTATCGGAAACTTCTACATTGCCCCTGATACATCATCATCGCAACTGAAGCTTTCAGTTGAGCAACTTTCTATGGTATTGCTACCGAAACTAGAATGCACTGCCTGCATTATCGCCGGTGAGTTTAAGAAATATCATACAATGTTTTTCAAATCACTTGGTCTGGCAAATTTAGCAACTTTCCCGACCAGACAAGACGCACAGACTGATGTTGTTCACACAAACAAATTCGTTTGTTTTCCATTCAAGTGCGTGCACCACTAAGCAACTCGGAGTATTGTATACTAAAGATTTGCCCTACCATCTACAGTAAAACTAACTATGCCGCATTGAAGTGACGACAATTCAGGACTATCAGACGACACAACCGCTCGGTGGAAAATATCGCACGACTACAAGCAACGCTTGCTTCAACCGATTTTTCAGTTACACTAAACTTACTAACACTAAATTTGAGCGAGGGCGATGTCCCGACCTGGTATGTGTGAGTGACCAGTGCAGTTCCAATTTATTTAGTCGTGATTTGGCTTATTGTCAGATGCAGGTACCTGCAAACCTGTTACCCGAAGATATACATTTGTGGTATATGGCAACGGGTCCCCTGGTACCTCAGTGATGAACTCAAATCGCCACTGGTGGTTTGGTGTAATGCTCTGTATGCCTGCGAGTCGACTACCTGGGAGTGAATTGTTTGCCAACACTGCACTTAGTCGGATGAAACCCCCAGGCATCGCGAGATAGATGGGGTGTTCAGGGTCGGCCGCATCAGTAGTTGGAGGTCATATCCGATATAGTGCAATTATGATGTTCTTGGTATTCTTGCAGTAGTTCCCTCTCCTGACTCAATGATTCCAGATGACGAGTCAAATCTTCAATGAATTAAAATCGTTAGAAACTGGAGTCACCACACTTCGGAGCACGGGCAAGAGTGAGTAACTGAACTGAGCTGAGCAAAGCAGAGCTGAATTGAGGTGAGCATTGAGTAAAGCTTTCCTAATTACAAACTATGGACAAATGCGCCGAATAACCTCACATGCGACACGTCCAAAGTGGGCACGTCTCTGGACTCGGTTGCGGCCGTCTGCAGCAAATTGGTGAGCAGATTGCCACGACCTGCCCCGGGGAATGCGATGTCGGTGGGGCCACCAACTGAACTGCTACGATCGGTTCCAGATTCATCTGACCGACGGTGGAGATCACGCAAATTTTCTTCCGTTAAGTGTTCGGTACGGCGTAGCGTGACGATTTGAACATTAGAGGCGCAGTAGACCTGAAAACACAAAGAAACGAAACAAGTGGTTAACCACACCAGCCGTGTGTGTGCGCGATATCAGTAAGAGCATGCAAGAAATTGGTCGCTTTTACTTGACAAGTGTAACCGCCCACGTCTTCTTTCCTGTCCGTCCGCCAACCCCAAACACCTGATTTGCTCCTACGAAGATAAGGGAACGAAGATTAGAGGGTCAGTGGGTAAAGCAAGTAGACATTACTGTCAGAGTAATCACATACCCAGATTGGAAAGTAAATGGCATATGGAATGTTACGACTAATTTATCAAAAAGGTAACAATGTGTCCCTAGAGAAGTGGTCTGATTGACAAGGTATGCGAATGTATGATGAACAAAACGAATAGCCATTGGATTGGAGGTGGAGAAACCATGTCAGACAAATAGGGGTAAACGAACAAGTCGGTGAACAAAACTTTTCCAGCATCACAACGCCAAGAGTAATAATAAGGGACAGATGCAGCGAAATGAGCAGTTCACAAACACGGACAATACTAGGGCTTAGCACAATCCAACAAGCACTCTACGAGTAGAGGTTTGGGCAGTTCTGTACAGCAGCGTAATTATACCAATGCGGCCTGATAAGTAGCTGGGAGATGCTGTGTCGCAAATGCTCTCGATCCTAGGGAAGGTGGACAGTTGAGTAATCACTTAAACCAGTGAGGACGTGAGGAAGAGACGGAATTGAATGTCGAAATGACTCAGAGTGATTGCGTACCCCCCTAAACCAGGTACGGGTTTCTTCGTGGTTTCTTGTTCCAAGCATTGCATCGTACGACAAACTTCGCACTCATTTGGAATATTCAAACGCAGACAGCCGGGCTGGGGCTCGAACCACAAGAGCAAAAACAACCGACATATGCTGCAACACGCACACTACCGAAATTCGCGGGAGACCCTTATCACGGTGGTAAGAAGCCAACAGTTAGGGCTAGTATCATCAACCGTACAAGAGGATCGTGACACACAATATCCACATGGATCAATATTCGCGTTTTAGCCCATCACATACAGCAATCCAGACGCATGAAGCGCACTACAACGCCCAAAATGCAAATTCATAACCGCTGGGCCAAGCGTTACTCGTGGGGGGTCTAAGAAAAATTTACAAGTTCAAAGTTCGATTCCCAGTTGCAGATTTCGGCTTAAAGGGTCCAAACAATGACGACAAGGGTAGTAGAGTTAGGTGATGGAAGTGATAGTATCGAAAGTGTTCACATTTAGGATAAGGTCTCAGCGACATGAATGATCGAGAATCGGTCGAAAGTAAAATTGCGTGTGGCAACCGAGATATTTTATGGGCATCTCAAAACTAAGCACAGATTACATCAGGCCAGTAAGATAGTCATAGTTCCACTGCGTACATCCAGGAATAACCAGAAAGAAAGTCGATAACCTCAATAGAAGATATATGCTGCATGTCCCAAGGCTTGAGACAGTTGTCAAGAAACTGTCATGCGTTGTAGATGTAGGAAACAGCGAGTAACCGAGACGCGTGCGAGATGCGTACCATGAAAGGAGCAAGTGAGCAGCAGGAAACCCGTAGTTCAATGCAACTTGAGCAGTGTGGAACATAAGTTCACATTTTTGTGAAAATATAACGGAATAAGCCTAGTACTGAGTTCAAGGCATTGGGTAGACGACAACGCATCGATGGCAAGGTATTAGTTTGGCGGATGAAACAGAGTGTGCGTTATGATTATTGGGAAAATTTACTTTTCGAATTCAATTTTGTCGGTATCCAAATAAGTCACGAAGATGGGTTGCGTCAGTTTGCTTGCGATTAAGGAGTCCGATGGTTCGCGTACAAACAGCTGGGCGGCAGCTGCAGCCGCAGCCCCTGCACCAAAAGTCTGACCTTCGGCGTTTGTGAGAGGAATATTGTGTCGATATATGGTCCTTTCTGTGTGGTTCACCTCGTCCATAAACGCCTCCCTCTCTGAGAGAAAAATATAAGAGCCGTTAGGGAACAATACGAATTGGGTAAGTAGAACACGATGAGATATTACCAAAATATTTTCATCAATGAATCTGCGCCAACAAAACCGCATCTCAAAAGGAACCGGAGAATGGGGAACGACGGAATACGGACAAAGAAACAGAGCAGGTGGTTAGAGAGGAAGCAGTAATGCGGTCGAAAATCAAAAAGACTAAACTACATCTGAAAGACGCCATGCGAAGTGGACTGCTTATTGCAGATTCTTGAAGCCGAGGGTTTCGGCGAAAAGGGTCCCCATCTTGACGTCATATGATTGTGCATGTGTATTGGTGATCAGAGGAGCCAAATATAGTTGCATATTTCAGGCATCAAGTGAGTAGCTTCCATAATAAATGATACCCATGAACAAGATTTCACATGCACAATTTCCATAACTATTATTTGACGATTTCAGCACATGACCGACTAAAATCCGACTGAACTTTGTGAACGTAGGCCCGGTGCATCAACCTCGTTCGCCAGGGAGAGTTGAATCAAAGTGGTTTGACCTGCCCAACCTGGAAATCACGACAGCAATCAATTACAAAGTTGGTTAGTTTATGGAGACCACATAAATCAAGGGATAAGATCCGGGAAAGAAGTGTGTGCGGAATGACTGATAAAAAAGGTTCAAGCTCAGGCTTATTGACATGAAAGCAAACTAAGAGGATTGTAGCTGGCACTGAATGGCCCGTAATCGCAGTCTCAAGCAATCAGCGGAGCAGTGCAAATTCGCCGAAACTCGCAAGTGATACATATGTCTGCTGACACATCGTTTGATTTGAATGAAAGATTACACGAGTTACTCCGGTCCAACTTCGCTTAATCGGTCGAGTGAGCCAGGCACGAAAAGCGATGCATCCAGCAGCCTACATTGTCGACGTCGTACTGAAAACAAGAGTAAAAAAACATCGAGGAAAAAGAAAAGCATTGCCAACATCCAAAAAGTGTAATGTAACAGGCCAGATGCAAATGTCCGAATGTAAGAGTGTCACCGACTCTGCAACTGGACCTTGCCCGTTAAGGCCTTAAACAACAGGTATAACTTATACCGAGGACCCCAGTCAGGAAGGCGCAGCCGTAATAGGGCAGAGTTAATTACTTCATGTATTTTCACCATTCCATAACTGATGGTCAGGCGCAGTGTCAGAACACAACGCACAATGGGGTAGGCAGTTGGCAGATAGACGAAGGGGCACGACCAAACCAACGTATATGGAGGTAAAGTGCAAGACGGGATGAAGTGTTGATTCCGAAGTCATACAGCGAAAGTCAACTGACCGATTTCAGCACGACTCGTTCAGGACACCCACGAGACGTGATGGATGTCTCGCAATCGTTGCTTATGAAATGTAATCCCTCAGTTTTCCCAGCGCACATCGGCACGCTTGTGAACTATGCAGTGAGGTTGGCCGTGCAACTATGCCGTAAATCATGTCTCTAACCTGTATGCTAACGTCTGGTGTTCGTGTGCCGCGTCATGAATCCTTCGAGATATGCACTTGGTAGTAACGCTGGTTCTAGCAGATTGCTTTCTTACTCCGTTAACAATTGCTATTGTAGGTTTTTTTGTAATACTACGCCTGAACAAACCTGAACGCTTTCTAGCTGTCGTCTGTCTCGAAATAATTAGGAAAAAATCAATGGAAAAACGATTAAATTTGGTCTCGTAAAACAATTTTTGTAATGTAAGTATGAATTTCTTCTGTACCCTGTGATGGAAGCTCTGCCGGGTCGTGTCTCACTTCCTTGAGAATATACCTATTTTTACCATTACAGCTACTATTGAAGTTGAGGTATTGACTAGCCTATGCATTTCTGGAACCGGAGTCCAGCGATGAACGCTAAAGAAGTCCCACTATTAATCAGTACGGTCCAACTGCCACGCGCTATCAGTAGGCTGGTGGCACATGAGTGCTGTTAAAGGTAGCTACCACTCTGGTGCAATGGTGTTCAATCATTTTAACTATCCCACTAGTGCCTCCCTGGGCGATAGTTGGTGGTTTCCGAATGAATACCATCTTTAAAATTCGGAGCATGATGCTGTATCCACATGGTACGGGCCACTAAAAGAATGGCGACAATTATACGGTCATCCTCGCAACTGCCACCTTCAGCGCTTTCGGGTGAGGGTTATCAACTCCGAGGTAACTACGGTTGCGCAACGATAGCAGCTTCCTCAATACGCTCGCTGAACTAAAAGTGACGTGGGAAAATCCTGGAGTTTGTTAGATTGGTACAGGTATAGTGGCGCGTCGAAATACTGGGGAATATTGCATCCCTGGCTCCCCTTGCCCGTCCGTCTGGAGAGATAAGTGGGTGAATGACATGCTCCACTTTCCGAAGACTGTTCACATTTTTGTGTAGTATAGTTCTGACAAAACCTTTTCACTAAGTAGTTCTGATGTGTTAATTTGTCCTCACGAACAAGGTACAGTGATTACGCTGTACCAAACAGTTGCACCAGTCGTCAGCACTAGGTTGGGTACGTACGTTCGCAACGCCAAGTTTGTTATTGCCATGCATTTTAGAGTACATGAATGTGTCAGCTGTACGCCGTAACGGCGTTTCGTTGCCGTGCGATCACCACCAGGCGCGCGCGGGCTGAGTATACCGCGAGGACGCCTACGCGGATTAGAACCGGGGACCTTATGGCTGCAAACCAGCTGGGCAGACCACTCTGCCATCGGCCGAATGCATTTGCTGTAGATGAACGATAATGTTCTTGTGGACATCAGTGACCGGTATTGTGACGCGGATGGGACCGATTTGTTGGATTTGTCAAGAAATTCCATCCAGATAGTATTAACGGAACCGCAATCCCAAAACTCCCAAATGGGTTCTTCGTCGAGTTCTGCTTGTAGGTCGTAATTTGTGGATGTGCTTACAAAGTCAATGCACTCCTGTGCATACTCGGCTTAGCGCAGGTAGTCATAAAGCATGGTGACAGAAACACTCAAGCATAGATGACCCTCTATTGTTCGCTTATCGATGATGAACGCATCAGTTGTAAGCACAAAATCAAGCACGGATGCTTTGTTTGTCGCTCTGAATCTGATGGATGAGTCGACATGGCTGATGAAGAGAATGCTTGTAACAGACTCTTGAAGGTTGGACTTGGGCTGCGTACTTGGGGGTTCCGGACCTTCCAGATCGTGCACTAGATGAATAAATTGACACTAGCCGCTCAGTTGAGCGTAGGGAATTGCGCAGGGAGAAGTTGAATGCAGAGGGCCAATCGCGGATATTGATCCTTGGGTCTTGAAAGTGAAAAGACGCAATGCGGGAGACACTGAAACGCCACCCTAATTCGCAAAATGTCCACATACTGGAGCAATCCACTGGTCAACGATAGCCAAAGCGAAGAGAGCCAGGTCTAGTATTGTCCTCCGTGAAGGAGACACATCCGTTAGGTATTCAAATTGCACAGATGAGACAACAGTGTCGAGCAAACAAGGAATCTTCGACAATCGTCACCTTCGGCATCGATGTTGTCCTTTATTCAGATTGATGGAGAATGTGTATGGAGAGACCCGCCGTTAAAGAATGTGTTCAAGTGATTATCGCTAACCCCGATTTTTCTGTACTGAATTCTCCAGGGTCTTTTGTTAGGCACTCGATGTGTGTGTGAGAGTGGCTTTGTTACTTTTATAGCTAGGTGAGCGAAACCAGGATAAACTATTTTATTCTCGCTGCTTCTTCAAAGATAGGGACTGTGAAAAATGGCAAACAGATACTCTTTTAATGTGGAGGGAACATGTTGGTGAGAGTACATGGTGGATTACCTAGAAGAAAAGCCCTACCGTGCGTCTTCGAAGCAAGAGTCAAAGCGAGGCCAGTCTACCGCTGCTTCACATGATTAACAGTTGGCCGGTTGTTGGATGATCAAACCGGACGAATGCATACGCATAGATTCGTAAATAGTACATGGACAGATCATGACTGCCAAGTAAGCAGATAACCTCGTTCTAAGAATCCGTGGTTACGACCATTGGCCGATTGGGGGAGACCAAGACAGATATAACTAGGCGACTAGGTGCAGCATAGCATGTCTTACTCCCCAGTGATATGCACGTTACTGCCGTGCAGATGAAAGAGTAGCTCCCAAGCAAGGCTCCTCCAAACCTAAGCAGCCAAGCCGCTTGCTTATGGTAGTGTGACTGCATACTGACTAAAAGGGAATCATATGGGGTTTTAGATGGAATGTGAGCAGCTCTGCACCACAACTAGCAACCCAGTATGTGGGTCACTGCCGTGCCCTCTTGACCCAGTGGGCTTAACTGCTTACTCGTAGGAGTAGAGTAGCGTGTTCTTACCCCCTGAAGGGCAAATGGACTGCACACTGCTGACGACTCTCGAAAGGATGAACCGGCCGCTCACTGTCTGACTGTGTGACCGAATCCAGCTGTGTTAAATACAAATAAGTACTGACTGAGTATACCAAATAATTGCTTGATTTTAGCCACCTATGCCCACAAGCCAGCACACATATGACGATATGAATAGTGAGCAGGCGAGATCGAAGCTCAAAAGCAAGTGCTACGCGGCTTACTACGGATTGTCTGATTAGATTGATTTCAACACATTTATGATAGTGGGTTGCTACATTCATGAAGGATGCGATCATTTGAAATAAGATGAAGAGAAGCAAAAGAGTATGATTAAAATGACGGATAAAAAAGCAACTTTCTGAATAAGGACTGTTGGGTCGGTCATGCCATATACTAGAAGACCTGTCTAGTTTGACGTATCAAAAATCGTAAGCATTGATCACGTAGCTAATCAAACAACCAAGCTCTTTAGACATAGTTCTCTACTTATCAAGTCATGGAGTACGTGCTCAATCAAACCACAAGTCTTTGCAGCCTTATCATACTATGCAGATACCCGGACCGTAGTTAGCAGCAGAAAGTTAAGTGGGTCAAGCAATATATATATATATATATATATATATATTAATATATATATATATAGGGTGTTTTATTTATCATGTCCGGAGTTAGGAGTGGCTGCACTCAGGTGCTGTCGTAACCCGGTACGCTGAACTTCAAATTGTCCAATGACCTAAACTGCTTTGCCGCAGGGGTGTGATGGGACACAGCGGCGCGACATGTGTGTACGATCGCAGAACACACCGAGCCGTTCGGCTGTGAGAACTGAACGTTAGCAAACACCACAGCCGGAATGAAGGTGTCATGCTTCGATCGATCATACAAGTGAAAAGCCAGCAAAAGGGTTCCCTGCGAAGTGGTTAGTGGGTCGGTGTGCTAGCAACTGAGAAAGACAGCCTGGCCGTATGTGATGACCGGTCAACCACAGCTAACTTTGACGTTAGCTCCTTCATGCTTCTGGCCCAAGTCATACGTTGGCCACCTTGCTTTCGTTTCCAGCTGACTTCTACTTGCACGAAGAGGACACATCGAGGTAAGCGATGAGTAGGCATACGAAGAACATGGCCAAGCCACTGAAGTCTGCGCAGAGAAAGTGGCCGGCAAAATCTGTCTGATCTGGAAATTCTTCGTTAAGGAAAAGGGTGCAATAAAATGGAGATCACCACAGGTCCTGAGAGTATGTGTTGAGAGAAAGCCTGTAAAACGCACAAACTTCCATTCACATTGCATCGAAAGGGACGTAGGTCTCATCACTCATAGTAAAGTGGTCCCAATAACCTTTCGGGTAACGGATTGCACAAAACGGGTCCACAGTGTAGACGTTTGAGCGGTTGGCCCAAAATCTCTACGGTCCTACAGTGTACACCAATGTCTCTTCAGCAAAACTGTAGAGCCTCGGTTGCGTCACGTAACATATGTTTGGTATCTCACCTCCATAACCGAGTCCCGGTTGCAACTCAGAGGTTACGGATGCCGAGATCAAGAGTCAGGGTATGACGCACCTTCAGAACAATTGCCCCAGCAGGGGAGGTGGTGTATTCCAATCATATAGCAACGACTTACAATGCGAAACATTGGATGATCTGGAGACGTTATGGTACCATTTGGGTCTCAGATACAATGGTAACTGCTTCGGGACAGTCCTTCATCGCCCTCTCGTTTACTCCATAGATGGATTCCCACCTAATATCGACATTGGTAAAAGGTTTACTCCCACGTTTTTATCTATGGCGATTTCAATGTACACGACCTGGATGCTTCGGCAACTCCTAGCGAAACATCCAAGGATAAACTGCAAGAGCCTAGCGTGAATATTCCACTGTACGGTCACTTCACCTCACCCGCCAGGTAGGTCTGACAACAAACCATCGGTAGTAGACTTTGTAGTTACAAAGAAGGAACTCATGATCGACAAACAATTAACAGACACTCCACTAGAACTAAGTGATCAATGCACCGTACTTTACAACTAGACGTGTTACACTGAATATCCGGAGGAACATATTGAACTAACAAGTGCCATCACACGCTGCAACATCCTGATCGATCAGCTTGCAAGGACCGATTGGGAATTCTTGAAAGGCGGCTACATTGGCAGTGCTTGGAGTAACTTTGTTGGACGCATCAGCAATCTGATCGTAACTGCTTCAAATACGACCCGGGTTCGTCACACCAATCCACCGTCGTTCATCAGAAGCAGAACTCGAAAACATATGTCCCTAAGGAATGCAGCCTGGCACGCTTACGGAGCCCGTCTTGAACCCGAAAGCTGGAACGACTACGTGACCCAGCGCAAGTATCGTACTGCGCTTGTCCAACAACAGTTAGCTTGTAAATGTACCAGCAGGAAAAAGCCCCTATATAAGCATGTTAAGATCCTTCGAAAAATGAAGCACGTATGCTCACATTTAACATGACAGTCGGAGTGTCACAGAGCGATAAATAGGCAGCCAATATTCTACGGATGTAGCGTGCTGCGACCTTCCAACGAGACGCCCGCCACTGTTACATATCCATATCTATAGCCCCAGCTTTAGCAGTTACGAACATCACGTTTACTGTCATATCTGTGTTGAAGAAACTGCTCTTACCGCGCACTTATAGTTCTCTCAGAATCGATATTCACCCGACGGCGCTGAATGTAGCAGTAACCAGTCTGGCCGAGATATTATCGCACTTCCTCCATACGTGCTTGGATAAACAAATTGTGCCTACCATTTGAAAGCATAGTCTAATCGTGCCAATTTGCAAAAGTTGCAGTCGCCCGGAACCCACAAATTATCACAAAGCGGTACTTCTTACTGTACACTCAAAGGTGATGGAGAGAACCATCGCTGAGGCGTGAGTTGGCCATCTAGAACGTTACAACATCATAGGAGCTAAGCAGCGCGGTCTCTGTCAACACCGTCCATGCAAAACTAACATATTGATTGCACGCAGTAGTTGGACGGAAGAGGCCGACAAAGGTATAAGGACTGATATGCATGTCAACTTATCCAAAGTCTTCGGCGGCCTGGACTACTGCATTCTAGTTCACAGGCTCGAAATCTAACCTGAGAACCCTGTGTTTGGGTGAATCAGGAATGTTCTGCAAAATTGGTAACTGCATGTCAGAGTTCGGAGTGCGCTGTCCGATGCGATTCAGGTCGAATGCGGAGTTCCACAAGGGTTGGTTCTTGAGCTGCGTCTATTTCTCGTGTACATTAATGGGCTTACGCGTCTGATTGCCTCGAAATGCTTGCATTTTTCTGGTGTTAATATGTGGCGTACGATCACAGACCAAAGAGATCACGATGCACTTCAGCGAAACATAAACAGGGTGTATAGATAGTCATTCCACAATCTGCTCCAGTTTAATTCTCTTAAATGTAAGGTGGCCCACATTCGTCACCAGGCGAAGATCATTTGTAAGTTTGGAGACCAAGACCTGCAAGCAGTCACCTAGGATCGCGACCTTAAGGTGTTGATGCAGGCTGATCTGGGCTGCTAATAACGATCTGATAAGTGTTCAAAGACTGGGAACCGACACATTGGCGTACTGCGGAGTGCATTCGGGTTTTTATCCCTCTGTCTGTCCGCAGTTGCTGAAAGCATACATGCGACCTCATGTAAAATACGTTATCCAAGCCTGGCAGCCCTGGTACAAGCAAGATCTCGCAGTACTCTAAACTCCACGGCAAAGTGCTACCAACCACGTCCGGGTTGTTTCACTTCCCATACCAACTAAGGCTGAGGACTCAGATTGTACACCGATCAGTATCGGCACCTACGTAGCGACCTAATAATGGTCTAGGAGATTTTGAGGAATCCAAACCACGTCTGCCTCCACCTGCTGTAACTCAGGCATAACACGAATTTGTGGGACCACAAGTTTAAGTTGGCTTCGCAATACAGTCGGTTAGAATGTCGACCAGCTATGGAACGTCCTCACTAAGTACGGTTTTCCGTCCCACATTATCTGTTTGAAAACGTATGGACGCTGCCCAAATCCATCTACATTACGAAATATAACCTGTGTAAATCGACATACGATATAATGCGACGAACGTTGCACAACTAACATTAACCTTCATTATCGAGGTTGGCTCTTTTACGCATGCCTCAGAGTTAACATTAAGGCGGGTTCACCAAACGTTTTTCATTTAATCACTAGGTTTTCTTTCCACTATTTTGTGATTCTCACTCTGGCCATCTTGCGAGGCCTGTTAAGCATTTGCTACTTGACCTGTAATACACTATTGTTCCACTGGATAATCGCTAGAGGTCGCGTTACAGCGAATCAACAATCCAATGTACTGGTGTATCGATGACAAATTTCATAGCGGCATAGTGATAAAACGGGGATAAAGTAAATATCATCCAATTTGAACAGTGCAAAAATGACATCGCATTGGTAACGTGCTCCAGGGCACCCACAGATTCCAGTCAGTTAAAAAGTAGTTCGACAACGGAGTGAGTATGCGACCCGAAACGCAAGGGGGTGACTTTTAGTGTCTAGAAGCAGGAAATGTGTACATCGGCAGGACACAAATGCAGGTTATGACAAAGGCACTCACCGCCGACTCTGAAAATGTAGCTCAAGTGACCGCGAATCCAGGAGGCGGAACCGTTGAAGCCGATGAGATTGGTATCTATTCGAACATTCGGACCACACTTCCACACGCGGCAGACGTCGCTTGGACACATGCGAGAAACGAGGGGTACTGGTAGATAAAGTATAATTATGGATCACAGTAAAAGTTAACAGGAAGCGATGATAAACATTCGAGAAACGAGGGGTACTGGCAGATAAAGTATAATTATGGATCACAGTAAAAGTTAACAGGAAGCGATGATAAACTTTATCACGATGTCGTTTGTTAGGAGGAACATCACCTAATGAAAGAATCAGTGAACCCAAAGAGGACCTAAGTGTCACCTTTTTCCAGAAATCAGGCAGAATAATCACATTGGTTAATGATAATAATGTTCTCGCACTATCTAATACTAGTATTGGTAAGTAAAGAAGAAGAGGAGAACATACAGGATGGTCGCCAAGAACATAGTCCGTAGTTTCCTGGCTTCAGGTGACGTGGGGACGAGGACACCCAGGCTAATATGTGGTCAACATGGTCTAGACCACGGTGACAATTGTGAACACTATCTCGCATCGTGCATGATAGCACCAGACTCCACTCGGTATATCATTGAAACGTAGACGTAAGTGCTGTTTGACGATTCAAGTCTCCCTAACACAACACTTCAGCTTAAAATTCCCTTTCGATAGTGTTATCTAGTCGGTCATTGCACGAGCGCACCAGTCGGCCTGATAATTACGGCCATTCTCTCCATTGATATGCATAATTTCGATTGAGTCAAGCCACTTACCTCGATACCCGCCTTAGAGTTTAACACAAGTCAGCATTTTCGCCTCACTGGTTAATTGCCCACGATTCAGTGGGTAGCAAGGATACATTAGCCAACAGGATAACCCTGACTCTTCTGTTGTTTCCTCTGTCTTCTATGCACTTTCTAACTTAATATACCCAGTCTCAGCTTGCAAATGGAATACATATTGATTATTAGCCCTCAAACTTGCTGATTTGAACGTTAGGAGAACCACAAGCACATGAATCTTCACTATACCAGTCCCTATGTGATGGGAGTGTTATACCAGGGTGAACGAATGGATCACCCGAGCGAGCCAGACAGCCAATGGGAGACGGGCGTAACGGATTCGATTACTGGACACGAACTGGCTGACACTCGTGAGTTATTTGCCGCTCGTTTACTGAGTCAAAGGAGGAACCTCATCGACTCAGAAGGGTTGTTATTTATGGATGTGAACGTGTTACTTACGTCGAGGAGTACGGCTCGCCAAACATGCTGTAATTTACGCCGTTGACTTCGTCGAATAAACGCTTGTCCCTGAAGGACTGAGATCTGCAACATGTCAGAGGTGGGAAGCCAACATATAAAGAAATGGAGTTGGGGAAAAGAACAGGACATCGCATTCGAAACTATTAGGCACCTTATCAGTAACGCGCCTGTACTCGGGTATTACGATGCACCGCAGGCCTCTGGAGGTACAGAGTGACCGTAGCAAGGATTGAATAGGTACTGTTCTCTTACAGAATGGAAAACCATTGGCTTTCCGAAGCTGAGCAGACACCGTGACAGAGGAGCGCTATGCGCAGATTGAGAAGATGATCGCGGTAGTCTATGCCATGGAGCGTTGCAACGATTATAATTTCGAAAGAAAAGCAACTGTGTATACAGACCACAAACCGCTTGTGTCGATAGCCAGTAAACCGCTGCATGTGGTTATTCGTCGCCCTCAGCGCATCCTTATCCGGTTTCAAAAGTAAATCGTGGATTTTGTATACACGCCTGATGCACAGATGTTCATTGCGCATACGCTGTCAAGAGCTCATCTACCGGTACCTGGGCCTAATTCAGAAGTCGAAGAAGCAAACCTATTACAACATCTGGCCGTGACGGAAGATCGTTTGAGTGAAATAACGCGCCACACAGAGAAAGATACAACGTTAGCAGCTTTGTGTGACGTTGATATAAATGGGTTGCCAGAGATAAAGAAGCAGCTGTCGAAGGAACTAACACCCTACTTCAAATTTCGGGATGAACTTTCGGTCTATGGTGGTTTGCTGTTCAAGGGAAGCAATATTCTGATTCCGTCATCGCTCCGAGGAGAAATGCTGAAACAGGTTCATAGTGCTAAACTTGGTGTCAACCATACCACTAACCGAGCAAAAGAATTAATATTTTGGCCAGTAATGACAGGTTAAAGCGAAGGGATCACGTGTGGAACTGTGAGGCGTGCCGTTCATGCGAAATCCGGCAGGTGTAGGAACCAATAATGCTACATAATACCTTGGATTGACCGTGGCAGAAGGTAACGGTTGATTTATTCAGTGACAACGGGAAAGAGTACCTACTCACAGTGGATTAGTATAATGATCCTTTTGAAATCGAATTACTCACCACTAGGACCACAGTAGTAATCAACAAGATCAGATGTCAATCCGAGCGGCACGGTAACGGGGAAGCTGGTCTCCGACAATGGGCCCCAGTTTATCAGCGTTGCATCCTAGGCATTCGTAACCAAGTAGGAATTCGTGCACCAGCAAATCAGCTCATATCACAGTTAAGCGAATGGAAAGGCGGAGTCAGCAGTGAAGCAGGTCAAGCGACGGTTATCAAACGCTATAGGTACCGGCGAATACCAGTACCTCATGTTACTGCAGAATCGCGACATTCCTTCAAGGAATATCGGTTTGGGTCAAGTGCAGCGCATCTACCGCAGAAAGACTAGAACCCGATGCCGGCATCTGCCACACTTTCGCCCAGTTTCGCCACAGCATGAGAGATTACAGAACAACATGAGAAGATGAATGACTAACCAGAAACGGTACTACGACCACAATTCACGGGTACTACCTGAGCTAACAGTGAGGGAGGAAGTGTGGATTCAAGCAACACCTGAAGACCGGTGGAAGAAAGGTGTGGTGAGTGCGAAGGTCGATGTCAGGTCATACGTAATAAATGTTGGAGGGAAAAGGTTAAAAAGAAGGCCAGCGAGTTTAAGGCGACACCGGAGACAACAATGTGGATTGGGAGTGGAGCGCCCTATGACGTGGTACATGGAGACCAATGCCGCAGATACAGCGAAGACGACGCGGAGTGGCAAGGTGTACGGGGTACATAGTAATATGGATTTTGCAATTACTACTACGTCGCTTACTTCTGCTGCTACTCGTGCTTCTCTGTCACAAGCCAACTTTCCTCTTATTGATCATCTACAACCTGTTGAGCCTACTTCTAATGCCCGTCTCGCTGGTATCCAAATCATCCGGCCCATCAGCTATCCTTAGACCCCATAATTCATTCCGTCTGGCGGCTTTCAATGTTCGGACCCTCCTACAGACTGGCCTGGCGCGCACTCCAGAGTCCCTCGCCATCGATGTTTGTTGCCTTCCAGAGACTCGACTACAGGGTCCCAGCACCGCGGTTAAGTTGTCGTCCCCAACTACTCTTGAGACCACATATTACCTACGTCTATCTAGTGACATGGAGGCAGCAACAACCGGCTTACTTGGTGTCGATATCGCATTGAGTGACAAAGCGGAGGCTGCATTACTCGACTGGTTTCCAACCGACAGCCGGCTGTGTGCGGTTCGGCTTCAAGGCTCACGTAGAATCAACAGACATCGTGGTTTCTGCCTATCCTCCAACCGACTACAGCTGTGCATCGATTAAGGATGACTTTTATCGTGGTCTCCATAATCTTTTAAACAAGGTCAAAAAGTTGGATGTCATCGTCATTGTCGGAGATCTCAATGCACGAGTAGGTCGCCTGCTTCCGTGCGAACGTCATCTTGGTGGCAGTCAGGCGATTGATGAGAGCCAGTCTGACAACGGTGACAGACTTCTTACGTTATGCGAAGACCACCGTTTGTTTTCCACAAGTACGAAAGTTAGGAATACCAGAAGACGCGCAGCCACCTGGCGTCTTTCACCAACGCAAGCGTGGTCCCAAATAGATCACATTGTAATCAGCTTTAGATGGCGAGGCAGCGTCCGGGGTTGCAGATCGATTTGGTCTACGTACCTCAATTCAGATCATGCTTTGGTCTGTGCGGACGTCTGCATGCGCTTCGGTGGCTCCTCAAAACGAAAGCTGCATACACACGACACCAACAAGTTAGCTAACCTCTCTACTCGATCAACTTATCAAGCTTCCTTATCGCATGCATTCATTGGTGCTCCACCTCGAGAAATCGAAAATCAATGGAGTTTGCTGCGGGAAGCGATGCTAACTTCCAGTCAATCAATCTGCGGAATCACAAGGGGACGGATTTCTGCGCACTCACTGGAATTGTTTGATCGTCGTAGAGCTATCCCGACCGATTCAAATAGCAGTGCATTGCGTCGCATTCTCAGTCAACAACTTAAGCAAAACTTGCGTGCGGATCGCGAACCTTGTTGGTCCCAGTGCGCCTCAGAGATGAAAACTGCAGCCCTTTGGAAACTTTCGCAAGCTCTTCCAGGTCATTCAGGCCACTAGTTACAAAGGACCTGGTGTCAGTGAAGTCATTTGCGAGGTTGACAGAACGCCGATAAGCAACTTACACAGGTGTATGGATCTCTGGGCTGAACACTTCCACACGCAATTCAACTTGCCTCCTCCGCCAACGAGTCTATTGAATATACCAAGTTGCGCACCTTGGAACATCTCACTGGAACCACCCACTGAAGCTGAGGGCTGCTTTGAGCTCCGACACTTGAAGCGACTCAAGTCTGCTGGCGCAGACGGATTTCCTTCAAGGCTGTTCAAATTCGGGAGTAAAGTAATTGTCAACCATCTAACAGCTCTGTTCTCTAAAGTCTGGTGTGAAGAAAGTTCCATGCGCTTGGAGCGAGTTAATTATCGTCCTGATCTTCAAGCAAGATGCCCGTACCTAATGCGCTAAACATCGAAAAATCAGTCTAATGTCCGTTGCCTCCAAGCTGTTAACATATATTCTACATTGCAGACTAAACCTTATTAGAGAATTGCACTCCCGTGAAGAACAGGCTGGTTTCCGCCCCGGTTGTGGGTGTATAGACCACTTTTTATGCTCCGCCAACTCTTTGAAAGGCGTCATCTTTACCGCCAGCCCACTATCGTTGTTGTTCTGGACATCCGAATCGTTCTCGACCCTGT